AGAACAGAGCTGTCCTTAACTGAAATGAGGAAGGAGAAACAGATTTAGGGGGAGAAGATCTGGGGCTTGGTTTTGGACAAGTTTAAGTTTGAGATGTCTATAGGGCATTCAAGTAAGATGGTGTATAGTTGGGGTCTAGAAGTTTTGTCCAGCCTGGGGAAATAAATATGGGAGACACCAGCATATAGGTAGTATTTTTAATGGAATATTTCATTAAATTTTGGGGAGCCTGAGAATACAGAGAAAAAGGTTTGGGGACTGAGCTTATCTAAAGATAGGGGATATAAAAAAGAATTAACAAAGAAGTAGGCTTTGAAAGAAGGAGAAAAACCCCTGGTGTGTGGTGAAGTGATTTCACACAGCAGGCAATGGTCTACTAGGTCAAATGCCCCAAGGGGTTCAAGTGGGGTGAGAACCGAGAGCGTAGCAGCCAAACACCACTCATGACTTGGTAGAACTGCTCCTGATTGGTTTATCTGAGTGTGGTCATGAGAAGATGAGAGAACAGCAATTGAAGAAAGTGAGCTTAGGCTCTCTTCATTTCAGAGAAATGCAGTGGTTGGTGGCTAGAAAGGGACTTGAAGTCAAAGGAAGTTTTATTCTACTTGTTTATTTTGCTTTGTTTTTAAACTTGTGGATACAGGGTTGGTTGGCAGAGTGGCTGTAGTGGTAGAGTGTCTACCTAGAAAGCATGAGGCCCTGAGTTCAAACCCCAGTACTGCTAAACTAGTGGATCCAGAGGAGCACATTTGTGCACTTGAGAAGAGACAAGTGTGGAGTTGTGCTCTTGAGCAGAGTGGAGGTAGGAGCTGGGGTCTAGCTGGAAACATTGCTATACAGAGGCAGGAGGCCAAGCAGCGGGGTGCAAATGTCTCCTGGTGAGCAGAGGAGATGCAGAGAGCTTTCATGGGCCTGTTCTAATTGCTTCATTTTGCTCAGTAGAATGGGAAGCAGTCATCAGCTGAGGGCAAAGATGGGAAAGAGGTGTTTAAAGGTTGGGGTTGGAAAGGGAAAATAAGAAATAATAATACAAATAGGCAGGAAGTTACATAGACCAAGAAGGTAGGGAGTGATGGCTGAGCAGCCTCAGAGGCCACTGCAGGCTGAAGGCCAAGGAGCTGAAAGGAGTTCAGTGAGCGTGGCCATGCCCTTTCTCCAGTCACAGCTAGCTTTACAGGCTCAGGCCAAAGGAGGTAGAGAAAAGGTTTTAACCAGAGCTGGTGCTTTGTCAAGTAGGATGAACTTTAGAGATGAACATGTATCCAAGCTGTGCTTAATGTTTGCTTAGGCATGGAATTTACACTGTGGAAGAAGAAAGATGAGAGCATGCAGGGCTTAAGGGAAGCAAAAATGAGGTATAATCCAGATCCCATGGTACTTGAGGGAGTGAGCTGAGCACTGAAGAGATGCTAACCAGAGAGGGATGCTTAAAATTGAGATTAGGAAGCTTCAGAGTAATGGCTGGGTTTAGGTCATGACAATGGCAATAACTGAGATTAGACCATTAAAGAAGAGCTCATATTCCTGACAGATCACGAATGTATATTAAACAGTAATTGATCTAAGGCAAATGGTTCAATTACTGTTTTAAGATCTTGAATTTTAGGAGAAGTTGACTAGCTAAGCATTAAAGGTTTAGAGTTAAACCAGAAAACATGAGGGGATTGGAAGAAACAGGAAAAATGTAAGAGTATTGTGTATTGAGAATTGGGATGTGGTGTTGAACCATTTGTATACACCTTTTTATTTATTGAGTTATAGAGATCATTAATCATCTTTATTTTACAAAGGATGAAGAGGAGGGTCAGGGTGCTAAATAATCAGACAAGAATAACTCTGAGTTCAGACTTTAAGCTCTTAACTATTATGTCCATCTGTCTTGACAGGTGCAGTGATTATGGCAGAGTAGATAATATTAACAACTAAATTCTGAGATGTGATTACTAGATTTATGGGATTAGAGGCTCTTGAGAACAATATTATATACAAAGCCCTGTAATATACATGATCTCATCTAATCCTCATATTAATCCCAAGTATTAAGTAATTTTCCAGGATCATGGGGCCAGTGATTAGCAGAGCCTGGATACGAAAGCATGCCCTCTGACCTCCTAATGTACACTGCTTCCACTGACTATTGGTAGCCTATTGCTTTCAAAATATGGAGCAGACAATCTTTAAAGAGAAGTTAAATAACTTTGAATAATGTATTAATAACCTATTACTAGTTATTTCTTTTCAGAACCTAGCAGGAAAAGTCATAATTCCTATGTTTCCATGGGAACGTTCATTAGCACAGAATGTAGCATTCTTCCTGTCATGGAATGTTCTTTCTATAAAGTCACACATCCACTCCAATAATATTTGTTGAGCAAAGATTGTCTGCAGGTGCTGGGTGCAGAGGATACAGTCCAACAAGTAACATTGGTTCAGGGCACCTTCAGTCTGCTGCATATCTTCAGCACCTTAGATACTCTGGGCCCTCCCATGGCTGCTGTTACTTCAGGCTTTGCATTCCACCTAGAATATACTCATCTCTGAGGACCCTGTTACCTAAGAGATGGCTCCTTTCCCTGATGGTTTGCACAAAGCACAATCAGCCACAGAGCCCTAGAGATGGAATTTTAGATTTGGACTCTGGGGAAGTAGCACTAGGGTGTTTTCAAGGAAGGGAATTTTGTACTCCAAAAGGGCTCAATCTTAATGCTGGATTTGAAAATGCATTCCTTTGCCTGCATTCTAAGTGGCTGGTGCTACTTGTGCTGCCCCTCAGTCACCATCTGGCCCTGACTTTTGCCGGAAATACTGAATTAGCCCATGTCACGTAATCCTTTGTGGATTCTGTGGCTCAACACCCTTCTACCAGGCAAAGGCTAAGTAGCTCAGGGCCCTGGGCACCAATCTTTGAGGATGGAGGACAATTTATCTGCAGAGTGAGGCAATTCCACTTTGTGCAGCTGATCCTAAAATAGATGATGAAGCTGTTAACACACTGTGTGCCCTGGCGGGTTCTACATGCAGAGAAATTCCTGTAAATCTGCTACTTATCACTACTAAGTAAGGGTGGTACTATGTACTAGTGCCAACCCACCTGGCACCTACCACAGCAAGGGCTGGGGAATCCATCCACATCGACTTCACCTGGTGCTCTTAGTGGCAGTATAGGGGTGTCACCTCACTCCTTCTGGTCTTAAAGTATGTGAGTCACAGTGTAATTTAAAGATTACACTCTCTGTCCCTTACATGTGCAAAAATTGAGTGAGACAAGTCAAAGTCCAAGTCTTAGTTTAAAAAAAGGCAAAGATCCTATATCTTATTGAGGACTTAAGAAATTTTTTCGACTGCAATATCTATTATCCTTTTATTTAATTTGGCAAATTTATGGGATTACAGATTATTTTATTCAGGTCCTTTCTGGAGTTGTGAGGCCACCCAGCTAGCCGACACTCTTACACATTTAAGAGAAGGCAATTCTAGTTTCGGAGTAGGGGAGGTGACACCAGCTCTGGGCTCCGCCACTCCCGCCCGCCCGCGGACTCGAGAAGGAGCGGGTTCCTCTTTCCCGCGGCTATCAGCCGCGCCCCTCCGCCGCGGCGCTCGGAGCCACCGCCAGGGGTGCTACGTTTCCCACCTGCAGGAAGGAGTGGCCCTGCCGCCCCGCCTGCCAGGCTGCCTTTCCTCGGGCTGGGCGGCTTCTTCGCGGCTGAAAGCGCGCAGGGGGCACGGACGGGGGGCGTGGGCCTGGGCCGCGGAGGGCTCGGGGGCCTTCCATCCCCGGCCGGCGCGCCCCTGTCCTCAGCAGCGCTCCTTTCCCCGAGGGCGCGGGCTCGGGATTCCCACAGCCCGGACTGGTGCTCCGAACCCTGCACGCCGTCTTCCTCCTTTCATCTCCAAAGCCCGGCACGCCCAGTAGCACCGCCACATGCGGCCCTGGCGTCCGAGTTAATCCGTTTTCTTAACCCACGCGGGCGCCAGCCGCACACCTAGCCTCACACCACATCCCATCCCAGGTGCAGCGGCTGGGAACCACTACAAAGAGGCCTGCGCCTCCCTGGCCCTCGCCGCTGCCACGCCCGCCCGTGCCCACTCTCTCGGTCCTTGGCGGTGGCTGAACGCGGGGACCTCTCCACTCTGCGCGCCCCTGCCCCTCCCCCAGCGTGGCGCTGATCCACACCGCGTGCTCCGAAATCCTACGAGCGGGGCCTTCCGATCGTCTCCCTCCAGTCCCTGGGCCGCAGCTCCTGGTGCCCGGGACCGGCCAGCCCGGTCCCCCGCCCGCGCTCCAATCCGTCCCGGCCCCTCCTCCGGGCCCTCCTCCTCCTCGTCGCCCCTCCCGAGCCGGGGTGGGAGCGGCGGCAGCTGGAAGGGAAGGGATGAGGTCATCCTCTCCCTCGGAGTCAGCTGGTGGAGGAGAGGCAGCGGGAGGAGGGAGCGCGCGCGAGGGGAGGAGAGGAATGTGCAGGTCCGAGGAGCGCCGCGGCGGCCGCTGCTGCTCCTGCTGCTGGCGGCGGCGGCGGCTCGGGCGGCAGCCGCGGGGCCAGGAGGCGAGCAGCGGGGCGCGGGCAGGTGGAGGAGAGGCAGCGGGAGGAGGGAGCGCGCGCAGGGGAGGAGAGGAATGTGCAGGTCGAGGAGCGCCGCGGCGGCCGCTGCTGCTCCTGCTGCTGGCGGCGGCGGCGGCTCGGGCGGCAGCCGCGGGGCCAGGACGGCGAGCAGCGCGGGCGGCGGGCAGGGGCGCGCGCGGGGCGCCGCGAGCAGCTTGGCTCCGCGCAGGCAGCCAGGCGGCGCTCCTGCCGGCCCCAGGCGCGCCGCTAGCCCGGCCCAGCGCCCAGCCCGGCGGGCGGCGGCGGCGGGCGGCAGGCGAGCCGGCGCAGGAGCAGGAGGAGGGAGCGCCGCGCCGCCAGGGAAGGGAAGCCGGGGCGAGGCGAGGAGGTGGCGGGAAGGAGCAGAGCGCGGGGCAAAGGTGTCAGATAAAGAAGGGTTCTCCCCGATTTGGAGACATCATGGCCGCTAAGTCAGACGGGAGGCTGAAAATGAAGAAGAGCAGCGACGTGGCGTTCACCCCGCTGCAGAACTCGGACCACTCGGGCTCGGTGCAGGGATTGGCTCCAGGCTTGCCGTCGGGGTCGGGAGCTGAGGACGAGGAGGCGGCCGCGGGGGGCTGCTGCCCGGACGGCAGTGGCTGCTCGCGTTGCTGCTGCTGCTGCACGGGGAGCGGCAGCTCGGGGGGCTCGGGCGGCGGCGCTGGCGGCCCGGGCGGCGGCGGTGGCGGTGGCGGTGGCGGTGGCGGTGGCGGCGGGGCGGGCTCGGCGGCGCTGTGCCTGCGCCTGGGCAGGGAGCAGCGGCGCTACTCGCTGTGGGACTGCCTCTGGATCCTGGCCGCCGTGGCCGTGTACTTCGCGGACGTGGGCACGGACGTCTGGCTCGCCGTGGACTACTACTTGCGCGGCCAGCGCTGGTGGTTCGGGCTCACGCTCTTCTTCGTGGTGCTCGGCTCGCTCTCGGTGCAAGTGTTCAGCTTCCGCTGGTTCGTGCACGATTTCAGCACCGAGGACAGCGCCACGACCGGCGCCTCCAGCTGTCCTCAGCCTGGAGTCGATTGCAAGACGGTGGTCAGCGGTGGGTCTGCAGCTGGGGAAGGCGAAGCTCGTCCTTCCACGCCGCAAAGACAAGCATCCAGCGCCAGCAAGAGCAACATCACCGCCACCAACAGCGGCAGCAACAGCAGCGGGGCCACCCGGGCCAGCGGCAAACACAGGTCTGCGTCCTGCTCCTTCTGCATCTGGCTCCTGCAGTCACTCATCCACATCTTGCAGCTCGGGCAAATCTGGAGGTACAGTATCAGGGGTGGGGGACGAGCGAGATTTGCTGCTTCTACATTCCCACTGCTTTGCTTTTGCACAAAAGCAAAATCTGAAAATCTGAAAATCGTTCAGAGTTACTATGGTAGTAACCCTAGCCACACTCTTTCAGGTTTTTTTTTTTTTTTTGGTGCTTTTTTAAATTGAGGTTTGGAATTTAAAAAAAAATTAATCTCTGCTTATGGTGGGAGGGAAGTGAGAATGGCTAGGCAAGGGCATTAAAGTGGTTTTGATCATCTCATCCCTTCTGCCTTCCCACTGTTTCACTACCTTCTCTCTATCCCCCCTTCCATTTTTAGTGATATTGTTTCAGTGAGTAGAAGATTCCCATCACACTTTATAAAAATTCTTTGCTATTATGTAGAATTTGTGGTGCAGTGTTGCAAATTGAATGATTTCTTTTGTTCCTGGGAAAAATTACTGATTCTAGTTGCATGGGAATTGTCACTGCTCAGAAAGTACACGCATTTTAATGACTACTGGTAGAGAAGTACTATACTCAAAGTAAAGTGTTTAGTAGACACTTGACTTGTCATGTATATGGACATATGACACATATATAGATATATGTGTCATATGTATCGTATGTCTATCTGCCTATCTATCTATCTATCTATCTATCTATCTATCTATCTCATCTGTCTATATCATCCATCTATCTAATCTCCATACAAGAGTGAGCACACTTAGGGAACCCAGACTTATACAGTGCACTTTCTGATTATCTTGCAATATCCCATGTAATTGAAAACCCTTGGGAAAGGGTGTGTCCGGTAAACTTTAATGTACTTGGTGTTTCCATTGACCGCTTTGCTACATGTTATTTGATCTACCAAGTCTTTTACACAGCACTTGAATTTACAAACTCAGGTACAAGACTAAACTTGTTGGGCAGAAGGGAACTATCACCGGGACAACACTACATGGACTTAAGAATATAATGAAACGTTATGCTCAGCAATAAATTCTCTTGACTTTTGTATGATTTAGAAATTTTTGGAAGCATTGATTAACATTTACAAAATTATGTGGATGGAACTATACAGATGCTAACATCCTAGAGCTTTTTAAGTTTTAAAATGATTTAATACGTACATGGTATATATAATACATGGAAACTTCCTAGAAAGTGTGCTGGTGTGGGACTGCACTCTGCTGTCCCAGCATTCTTTTAATGATTTCATTTGTGTTCATTTTTGTGATAAAAGGTATGATAAGTCATTGACTATCCTATCTGGAACAACTCAGAGAATTTGTAAAATAGAACCGCAAACTTTTTTTTTTTTAATGGTGAACCACAGTGATTTCATCTAAGAAGAGCAAGTGAGGCAATTTCACCACCTTTCCTGGGACCAATATTTGTAAAGCAGGATATACACTGCCATAGACAGTGACCCTTTGTTTTTTAGAGCAGATTTTTTTCTGGAAGAATAATACATGACATCCAGTCAGACAAATTGACGTTGGAATTCTCTGACTGACTTTTTGAAATGTCAGTTGACTGTGATAGCTTATTTCCCAGGAATGGCTGTTGGGAAAGCTTATAGCTTGATATTCTCCCACAATTACAGTGAGGAACTAAAATGCTTGATTTAATTATTGAAATTATTTAGTGGTTGGATGCAGGTGATTAACTTTTTAAATTCGAGAATGTTGTGGACGAAGTGTACTAATCCATTTGTTAACTTTTGTAAACTTTATGCAAAATTTGGAAGCCACTTCTTTTAAATCACCTTTAAACTTTCTAGATTTATGTCAATAATACAAATGCTTCTCAATTGTATTAATTGAAAAGTATGCATGTTTCTTACAGATTGATCCTTTCTGAAAGATCTGATAGCAAATTCAGTGAACTGAAGGAGTCATTTTAATTATACTTGTGTTTACTAGACCTTCTAAGCCAAACATTTTCTTGACTGAGAAATGATGCTTAATTGTCTCAGAAATAATATGCAGAAGGTAAGAAATAATTAGGAAAAGATAAGGGCCTAAAAACATTTCCATAAAACCACAGCCACTGAAACAGTGAGCCTCACAGAGAAACTATCAAGGGGAAGAAAGGATGGAAGGGTAAGGCTGAAGCAGGAAGAAAACCACAGACTATCAGATAAATGCATTAACTCAACTAACCCTGGGAGAAGCACATGACACTCTCTTTTTTTTTTTTTTTTTTTGTTTTTGGTTAAGCATCTCTCTAGAATATTCATGCATTGAAGTTTATTATGATAATAGAGGGTCTTCTGGGGAAGTATTACTAGAATTATTGTCAGATGTTTGTCAGTATTTTCAAAATGATGCATTTAGTGTGGAAGTCTGAATTGTCATCTAATCTAACTGTTCTTGAATTCTGGTTAAGATACTTGGGGAAATCCCAGGGTAACCTGCTTAAAGCAAGATCTGAGACTAATTAACTTCATTTTGTTTTTTAAAAATAATATTGTTTCTTATTTACTCTAATGTAAAACTGTAAAGGAATAAGAAAGCTTCTGAGGTCTACCCTCAGATGTGTCCCAGTTCTCTGATTCTTGAACATTTTAATGGAACTTTGGGGGGTAGACGTGTCTTTGATAATAAGCTGGTGAAAAACTGCTCATCTGAGATTATTGGATTTTTACATGGTGCAGTATCTTAGAGCACTAAGACTCCTTAAAGAAGAACCATTCCTGTGCCTTTTCCAGCTCTACTTTTCAATGTATTGTACAGAAATATGGCAGAGACACCAGGGCACTGAGTAGTTCAAAGCTCAGAGGTCATTATTCATGTTCTAACATGCTACCTTTGGGGATCAATAAAATAGATTTTTGCTAGGTTCATTGTATTTCCATGAAATTCTAGTTACTTTAGGGAAGGGCTAGATTCTAAAAGCTTTCTGTAAATAAAATCTTTTGAAATAACATTATTGCTTGTTAAGAAATAAGCCATTTGAACATCATGGACAAGATTTGCATGTATTTATGCATGTACTACAAATGCAGCTGCTAAAAGCAATGATACACATTCATTTTAATTAAAGTTTACTAATGGGAAATTAATGGCAGCTTTTAAAGTCACAGGAGGTGATGCTGGGAAGGAGCCAATTGAAATAATGAAGTGAACTTTTGCTACCATGTGAAAAGAACAATTATGACTTCAATTCTGCAAATGCACAAGAAAGCATGTGTCTGTACTATTCTTTTCATATGACTTCAGAAATCATTAAAAGCACAGTTCTGCCAAAGAGAATCACACATGTCTACTGAGAACATCCTTGAGACCATACACCTCTAATCAATTGTATCTAAATGTCTTTTTCCTTCAGAATTTATGAAATTTACTTACAGCTCTGGTTTTCTCCTAGGTATATATGTACATATTAATTGCTTTCTGTAAAATATGAGCACTGCAAAGAATGAGCAATGGATGTAGAGTGGGAGCATTTTTACTAGTTTTATTATTTTGGGTTTTGCTCTGAGTCTGTCCTGTGACAGTCATGTGAGAAAGACATGGGAAAAGAAAGTTTGTTTGGCTCTGTTCTCTACACAGTATTGAAGTGTGTTCCATGTTCAAATAAATTGAGGGAATGATAGGGTAAGCAGAGTTAAACAATTCTCTATAAAGCAGGACTTCTCAGAGCCTTCGATAAACTAATGTGCAGTTGTCAACAATTTTTAAGGCTCACCTTTTAAATATGGTTGTAATGATACAGCATACATTATGCCATTCTCAACCCAGGCAGACAATAATAATAACAATTTTATTTGGCATTAAAAATGTATAAATGTCTTTACATTTCTTAACTCAGCTAAGTTTTACTCTAGCCTGACAGAAAATCATTAGTATCCCCTTTATGAGAAAAACTAGCTCAGAGAGGTTAAGTAACAACTTGCCTGGGTCATATGTAGCGTAGTTTGGATCCAAAACCAGGCTCCTCTTACCTGAAAGTCTGTGTTCCTTTTGACTCAGTTGGCTGCATCCATGTACCAACTTGGATAATAAAGACAACAATGTACACAAATAACAGTTTACCTTCCCTAGGGATGACCAGTGGGAAAGAGCTGCAGACTCTTTAGACTGTTATTGGATCTTTCCAACAACACACCAGCAGTAGGGACTGGAGCTCAGATTGCCTAAGTCCAGCACTGCTCTTACTGCACCATTTGGACATATGGAGGTTGTTGCATTAAATCCCACCTGAATAAAATAATCTTGTAGTGTTATTAATGATTACGTGCTAATAATGCATGTGAATATGCAAATGATAAAGGTTCTAGAGACAAGGAATAGGTGGGAAAATAGGATATAGGTTACACCTTAAACTTCTAAAAAGAAAGGTGCTTTATTGATTCTGAGTTAGTCCTGAATTCTGATATGGATTAGGCAAGATTGGTGCTATTTGCTGGATCATTGAGTGACTATTTTCTGTGTATTTGTCTTCCCTTTCTAGGAACATTAATTATTGTTTAACCTATATTGAGTACCTATTACATGCCCTCCACTTTGCTAGTTACTAATTATCCCAAGATGAATAAAATATATGTCTTCAAGGAATCTACAGCCTAATGAGGAAGACAGAAAAATAAAGAATTTTAATGTAGTGATAAATACTGATAGAAACAGGAAACTGAAACTACTGTGGTGGTTCAGGCAATAGACTCTCAAGTGGGGATGTCTGTATAAAGTTTTGAATGATGAAAAAAGAAGTTGTCATCTGAATAAAATAGGACCTTGGTCTATGACCCTGAATACAATAGGGTCTCTTGACTGTGTGTGCTCAAATATGGAGGCAGGAGAGGAGATGGAGATGAGGATGGAGAGTTCCTTGGGCTAGATAATGAAAGGGAGTTAGATTTTACGCTGGATGCATGGCAGAGCCTTTGAAAGATTGTAAGTGGTGAGGATGAATAAACATACTAACATTGTTTTATGCAAAGGAAGAATGCAAAGTTGAAAGTTTCAGAGGAGACACCATTATTTCTCCTCAGTGACTCAGTCA